TGCAAATGCGAGTGTGGGCTGAATGTGAGCTCAATGAAACCTTAAGCAGGACGGCGAAGCGATCTGGGCCTTGAGTGTAGTTTACTAGGCGGGGAAGCTGCCTGCGAGTGTGTGTGCATGCGTGGATGTAAGTCTGTGTCTATTTCCGCTTGTACCTGCGTATGCGCGAGTTTCTCTCCACATATGCAAAAATAAATGTCTCTCCCTCCCTGCCCGCACCTGACGCGGCAGCCAGGGTGCGGCCGCCGCCCGGGGCGACGCGATTGCGCTCGCCGAGTTGTCCCAGCTGTCGGTTCCGGGACGGTCAGCCATAACTCCCATAATCGCAGCCCCAAGAAACAAAGGTTGCCATGACAACGGCTGGTAAACAAAGAGATGGGGAGGCTGCGATCTCACGGCTCTCACGCTCGCACTTACTCATCTTGCGTCGCTTCTGCCCCGTGACAGACGCCGCTTGCTAACCGGAAGATTGGTTTGTTGCGAACCGGGGAAGGCGCCCACGCCCCTGGGTGGCCGCTCCCTCGGCACTAGGGCCTTTCACTGGTTCCTCTGGGTCTTCCATTCGTTAAAATCTTCACTGAATCTGCATAAGTGCATTCTTGCGTGCACACGTACAGATATTCATATACATACAGACATATATATATGTGTTCATTATATATATATATATATATATATATATATATATATATATATATATATATATATATATATATATATATATATATATATATATGCATCTATATGTATCTATATGAATATATATATATATATATATATATATATATATATATATATATATATATATATATGTGTGTGTGTGTGTGTGTGTGTGTGTGTGTGTGTGTGTGTGTGTGTGTGTGTGTGTGTGTGTGTGTGTGTATGTGTTTGCGTGTGTGTCTTCAGTATATATTTAAGTATTCGCAACTAATAAAAACCCTAATTAGAAACAAAAAGTCAGGAGATTAATGAGTCCAATGTATGTACCTGGATGTTTGTATATTCAGCTTTTTAATCTTCTTTTCCTCTTTTTCCTTCTCTCTCCTTTTCTCCCTCTCGTCCCTCTCCCCCTCTATTTATCTATTCATCTTTCTATTCCCCCTTTCCCCTCTCTCTTTCTCTTTCTCCACTTCTCCCTCTCCCTTTGGAAAACAAGGGGCAAATAACATGATAAATGGAATATGGAGGCCTGTAAATCATCTAATCTTTCATTTGTATTTTTCTCTCTTTTCTTTTTTCATGATGGATGGAACGAATATGCAAAAATCAGTCATAGAAACCTTCAGCTTGACCATCGTTGGCAGGTTTCCATCTCCTCCATCATCTGCTTCCATCACTCTATCTCTCTATCCTTCTCCCTTTATCACCCTACCATCTTCTTTCTTCCTCTCTCTCCCTTTTCTCTCTCTTTTCCCAATCATTCTTTTCCTTTACTTCATTTCTCTCTTTTTCTCCCTTGCTTCCTTCTCCCCGTCCTCTTCCCTTAATTTCCTCTCCCTCCTCTTCCCTCTTCCGCTCCCTTTCCCTTTCTCTTCTTCTCCTTATAACACGAAAAAGCAAACGCCAGATTTATGTATAATGATTCCGATAACAACAAGGAAAGGGGGAGAAGTGTGGGAATAAAAGGCAACAATCCTTGGGCGAATCGAGAGAAAGGAAAGGGGGATGGAGCATAGGGGAAAGAAGAAGGAAGGAGGAGGGGGGAAAGTGGAATCGGTAGGAGGGAGAGAGAGAGAGAGAGAGAGAGAGAGAGAGAGAGAGAGAGAGAGAGAGAGAGAGAGAGAGAGAGAGAGAGAGAGAGAGAGAGCGAGAGAGAGGGAGAGAGAGAGAGAGAGAGAGAGAGAGAGAGAGAGAGAGAGAGAGAGGGAGAGAGAGAGAGAGAGAGAGAGAGAGAGAGAGAGAGAGAGAGAGAGAGAGAGAGAGATGGAAGGGGAGGGAGGGAGATAAACAGATAGACAGACAAAGAGATTGAAAGAGAACAAAAAAGAGAAAAAAAATAAGGAAGATGAGTCTCGCTAAAAAGGAGAGACGGAGAGGTCGGCCAACTTCCAATAAGAGACGAAAACCTCCTCACTTCACTTTGTTATCAGGATTTCACGAAGGAAAAATCCTCCCTGATCCCCTGCTGTTAGCGTTTTGGATCGCCTGTATAAGTCTCAAAAAAATCCCACCTACCTTTCCTCTATACTCTTCCTCCTTCCTACCCTTCTCCCTCTCTTATCTCCTCCTCTTACACCTTTCGTTATTCCCACGGCTGTCCTTCGCTTCCCTTTCCTGCCCTGTCCTTCTTTTCTCATCCTCCCTTCTTTATCTTCGTTTTCCTTTCCCTTTTCCCTCTTTTCTTATACTTTAATTTTCATTTTCTCCATTCCCTGTCCATCGATTCTTTCCCTCTATTACTATCGCGGTCCTCTCCCCCCTCCTCATTTCCCTCCCCTCCTTCCCCCTTCTTCCCACACTCCCTCCCCTGACCCATACCTCTCTCAACTCTATCTTCCCCATTTCTGTTTATTCTTCTCTTCTTATTCTCCTCCCTCTTCGCCTACTCTTCCCCCCTTCGGTTTCTCCCTGTCCCTCTCCTCTTACTCCCTTTCCTTCCTCCTTTTCTTAACTTCACTTAACCTCTCCCCTCCCTTTCCTCTTTCTCCCCCTCTGTCCCCGTCCTCCTTCTCCTCTCTTGCACCCCCACCCCTTCGTGGTAGCCCTGTAATCCAAACCCACTAAGAGTAATATCAGAGGATTTATTACAGGACGCTGCCACTTGTCAAACAGAGACCGCAACTCTCATTTCGGCGGAGAGGGGGGGGGGGTGAGGGGCCATAGGAGGAGGGGAGGCAGGCGAAGGAGAAGGGGAGAGGGTGAGGGCCAACTGGAAGGGGGAGGTGAGGGGAAGAGAGGGTGGAGAGAGGGGGAAGTGAGGCACTGGAAGGAGGGGGGGATTGGGAGGGGGAGAGAGCAAACTGGAGGGGGTGAGACGGGGAGGGGAGGACGGGGCGGAGAAGGAGGTCAAGGAGGAGAGGAAAGGGAATACAGGAAGGGGGAGGAGAAGGGAGAGGAGGAGCAGAACTGGGATGTGAAGGAGGGTAGGAAGGGAGACAGAGGGAGAGAGGGGGGAGGGAGGGAAGGAAAGGAGAAGCTGAAGGAGGGGAGGGGAGAAAGGATGGAGAAGACAGAAGTTAGAAGATAGAGATAGCAGTGGAGGACAGGAGAAGGGTGAAAGGAGGGAATGGAGCACGTGAGTGGGGTGGGGCAAAGGAAGAAGGAGGAAGGGGAAAAACGAAAAAGGAGGGAGTCAGAGAATGGCAGGCTCCTATGCCCCCTCTTCCTCTTCCATCCTCCTATCCTCCCTCTCTCCGCGTTTCCTTCCTTTCGCTCCATCTGAGACTCACTTCCGTGATATGCATCTCGATCCCAGGAAGGAATCGTGAATCGGCCAACTGTTCCTGTCAAGATTACAGGTTTTCCCCTCCTTCCTAGGCTTCTGGGCCCGGCCTCGCTCCCTCTATACTTCCGCATATGCATCGAAGTATATAGATGGCAGTGCTTGTATATGCATATACTGTACCTATCTACATACATGTCAACATATATTTACATACACATATTTGTATGTATATCTATACATGTATATATATGGATATATATATATATATATATATATATATATATATATATATATATATATATATATATATATATATATATGTACCTATCTACATACATGTCAACATATATTTACATACACATATTTGTATGTATATCTATACATGTATATATATGTATATATATATATATATATATATATATATATATATATATATATATATATATATATATATATATATATATATATATATACATATATACATATATATATATATATATATATATATATATATATATATATATATATATATATATATATATATATATATGTACATATATATATATATATATATATATATATATATATATATATATATATATATATATATATACATATATAAATATATATATATATATATATATATATATATATATATATATATATATATATATATATATATATATATATTTATATATATCTACATATAAACACATCTGTCATATACAGACACACACACATATATAAATATATATATATATATATATATATATATATATATATATATATATATATATATATATATATATATATACATATATATATATATATATATATATATATATATATATATATATATGTATATATACATATATATACATACATACATACATATAAGTGTGTGTGAGAATGTGTATATATATACATAAACAAATGAGAGAGAGAGAGAGAGAGAGAGAGAGAGAGAGAGAGAGAGAGAGAGAGAGAGAGAGAAAGAGAGAGACATACATGTGTGTATGTGCGGGCGTGTCCCTCCATCCCTCTCTCCCTCTCACTTTCTCATAAGACCTCTCCTGCCCCCCCCCTCCCAGTGCCTCATCCCTCAGGTCAACACACTCCATGTTCCTCCGCCGGCCCCCTGCGAGCCGCGGACGCCGCCATGCACCCTGCCAAAGGCGAGGGCAAAAATCAGCGAAATAGTCGGTGAGGTTCCTGAGAGTTCATCACTTGCTCTGTCATTAATGATAACCACGGGTATTACAGCGGGTTTGGTTATTACTAAACTTGGTTAAGGTTATCATCATACTCGGTCACTGTCCTAATCAGTCACTATAATCTGGCTTGATCTTCATAGCACCGTCACAATCAAGCATAACCAATGACTAAAACAAACTCACCGCGAATTCAGCAGCGCTTATACCATCATCACTTCGCACGTGTGGCGACTGCTGAGACACCTGCCCCAAGCGCCGCAACCACCACCGCATACCCCAATCGCCACCACCCAACATTGTCATTACACGCAGCAAGTGATTGCAACCACAATCAGACATTCACTAGCGGTCAGCACCCTGGACGCCATCAGGAACCACCAGCATGGTTACTATTCGTCAGCATGAAGAGCAGCATCTCCCTCAGCATCCCCAACGCCTGGAACCCCAGAAACAGCATCCCCAGTCGCCAGCAACAAGAGAAACTCCACCAGCATTTGCAATTACAGCTTTCGAACACCAGAATCCCCTCCAACATCTCCAGTACCAGCTATCTCCATCTAAATCTCCAATATCTCCAATTACAGCTATCTCCCCCATCATCTCCTTAAGCACCTTCTATACGAGCTATCTCCACCATCATAGCAACACCAACACCTCCACCACCACATCCCACCACAGCAGCATCTCCCCCCCCCCACAGCAGCATCTCCACCACCACATCTCCCGCAGCAGCATCTCCCCCAACACGTCCCCGCAGCGCCTCCGCCACAGGCACCGGGGCGTCACAAATAATGCCAAGACACAAGGACGCTCACAACTTATATAATCATGTGCCACATAAGAAGATTAAACTAGCGTTGGAACTGAACTAAACTCGGGAAGCAAGTTAGATTGATGCTGGATTTTGGTCTAATCCGGGCGGACGAGGAGAAGGAGGGAGGGGGAGGACGAGGGGGAGGGAGAGGGTGAAGGAATAGCGAAAGGGGTAAGAGTGTAGTAGAAGAGGAGGAGAAGGAGAGGGGAGCGAGGGAGGAGGAGGAGGACGACAGGGTGGAAGAGTTTGGACGAGTCCGAGGAGGAGGAGGGGGGAGGAAGTGGAGGAATGGGGACAGGGAGAAGAGTGTGTGGTGGAAGCGGATGAGAAGGGGAAGGGGAGGTGAAGGAATAAAGACAGGGGGAAGAGCGTCTGAGGGAATGGAGAGAGTGGAGAAGCGAGGAGGTGAGGACAACAGAAGAAGACAAGGAAGAGAGAAAGAAAGTTTGGAGTAGTGGACAATGAAGGACGAAGAGAGCAAGGGAAGGGAAAGGAAGGAGAAAAGAGGAAGGAGAGAGAAGAACGGGGAGCACAAACGAGATGTAGTGCGGGAGGATAACAGGGAGGAATGGGGGAGAGAAGAGAGAGGAAGAAGGAGAGAGCAAGGAATTAAAGGGGAGAAGAAGTGGAGAAGCGGCAAGAAAAGGAGGAGGAGAAGGCTAAAGAGAAATAAAATGATAAAAAAATGATGAGTCATATATAAGATAATCATTATCAAATGAAGCTAACAAATGCAATACAGAAACGAACATGAAGATAAAAAATAAAGTAGTAGAAAAGTAGAGGCCATAACAAAACGACAAAAAAATCACACACACACAAAAAAAATATATATATATATATATTCATGAAAAATATAAAGATATAGATATAGATATAGATATAGATATAGATATAGATATAAATATTACATGGACAGATAGATAGATAGACATACATATACATATATATAAAAACAATCACACACACATCATATATATATATATATATATATATATATATATATATATATATATATATATATATATATATATATATATACATATATATATATATATATATATATATATATATATATATATATATATATATATATATATATATATATACATATATACTAGACACGCCTTTGACCACGCCCCCCCCCTGGATGCGCTGAGGGCGACTGAAACAGACAGATGTTAACCGTGCTTGTATACTCGCCTTGTGATTGCGTCCGGGAAAGTTAGAAGGAGAAGTTAGCGCCAGAGGTCCTGGGTCTTATGGACGAAAGGTGTGTGAGAGAGAGAGGGGGATAAAGAAAGGGCTGGAGAGAGAAAGGAAAGGAAAAGGTGTGGATGAGAGAGAGAGAGAGAGAGAGAGAGAGAGAGAGAGAGAGAGAGAGAGAGAGAGAGAGAGAGAGAAGGGAGAGAGAGAGAGAGAGAGAGAGAGAGGAGAGAAAGAGAAAGAGAGAGAGAGAGAGAGAGAAGGCGATAGAGAGAGAGAGAAAGAAAGAGAGAAGGCGATAGAGAGAGAAGAAAAAATATTGCAGGTAAAAGCGGCCCTGGTATCACTCAATGAGAACTGTCACGGTGGTTATCGTTGTCACGAATGACGAAGCGTAATCAAGTATATTTTTATTATGAGTGACAGGTTGTACGTAAGCAAATTATAAATAAACTGCAGATATTGAGAGCAACGGTCCGTAATCTCGAAAAAAAATGACGATTAAAAGTAAATGTAATGATTTTAAATAATCACTCCCTGGAACGAAAAAAAAACAATGGTAAATTAATAAATAGATAAATGAAGATAAAAATATACAAATAAAAAAATAAAGAATAACGAAAAATGGAATAAACGAACCAAAGTCAAAGGATTGCACAGACAAAAATGTAATTCATGTGGAGAAGAGAGGAAAAGGAGAAGGAAAAAGGGTGAGGAGCATAAATAAATCTGAGAGTCAGGAAAAGTTCAGATAGATTGTAGTTCATGAAGTAAAAAAAGAAAGAAAACGGCCAAACAAAAATAAAAGGAAATACAAAAAAGAAAAGTAAAGTGTTTAAATAAGCCGAAAGCAAAAACAAGACAGGAAAAGGACAAATAAATAAGTTCATGAGAAAAATAAAAGATAGAAAAAAAGAAAAACATGCAAGGAAAAAGATCGAATAAAAGAGGAAATGAAAGAAAAAAAAAATCGAATAAAAGAGAAAATGAAAGAGAACATAAATACATAGAGGACCAATAAAGGGTTAGGGTTTGGATAAATCAAGTTAGCAGGTGGATTAATGTCAGTCCGGGGAAGATATATTGCAATGTTGGCCGGATAAATGAACAAGGAAGTAAAACAAAATACACGTAAATAACAGGAGGAAAGTGGAATATGCACAGAATGCATACAATATGCGGTTGCTTTTTGATAACAAGTTTCTATGTAAAACAAAATGCGCGGTATTATTTTCACTGAAATTGAGGAATATCACACTGTTATGAGTTTGGAGTTATATAAATATACACAAGTGGGTCACTCTCACCGTTGTTCAATCATACGCTCTATCATAGACGTATATACAGACGTA